TTTTTTTTTCAGTTTGATTTTAAGCCACAATCGCGCAACACAGCTGCATAGCCACAATCGTTGCTCCGTCGGATCGTTGCACAGCTGCACCGCCGCACTGTTGCATAGCCACACAGCTACACAGCCGCACCACTGCACGCCTGCACCACCGCATAGTCGCACACACCACCGCAGCATCGCCGCCTCACGGCAGCGCCGCCTCGTCGCACCACCGCGCCGTTGCTTCAAGTTATAAGGTTCATTGAAACTGTGCGATTTTTTGATTCTTTAAGATATTGGTAGCATTTTCTAAAATATTATGATAATTGTAAAAAAAAAAAAAGGATTAAAAGAAATAAGGAGAAGATTTGTCGGTTTGTGTATGATATTATGATAATTGTAAAATATTGGTGCCATTTCTGATTTGTTGGTTCGTGTATCATATTATATGATCTAGAAGATAGTGTATAGCCAGTAGCACATTTTGGTCTGTGGCATACATAATTGTTATGCTGATCGACTTCATCCCACCGTCTCTGACGTGTCGCTGGCAGAGGTGCCGGGGTTCTTGAAGGCCCCGAGTGGCGCCCCGGCCAACATGGCGATCGCGGTGGTGCGACTGGGCGGCAAGGCGGCCTTCATGGGGAAGCTGGGCGACGACGAGTTCGGGCACATGCTGGCCGGAATCCTGAAGGAGAACGGCGTTAGAGGCGACGACATCACCTTCGACGAGGGGGCGCGCACCGCCCTTGCCTTCGTTACCCTGCGCCGTCAATGGACGTGGCGTCGGATTCTTGCAGCACTTTGGGGTGGTGAAACTAAAAACCAGGAGGAAGAGGAGGTGAAAACCTAGTCACTTGGCATACACGTTATCAATATTTAACACTTTTGTGAAATTTGGAGAAAAATCGCACATTAATATATTTTTAAATAATTTGAAATTAAATTAAAATTAAAAATTAAAGTAAGACTAAATTAAAATTTTTAAATATTATAAAAGACCAAATTATTAATTTAGCCTAAAGAAAAATTAACTAGTAGCGACAAGATTGTGCATTTTTATTCCTGAGAAAAGTTTTGATAAAATAACTTTAGCCGTCAAATGTTAAATACAGTATAAAAAATAGGACGAAGACGAATTCTTATTAACCCCCTCAGCTGTTGGAGAAACATAACATTAACACTATAAACAATAGATTAACCCTTTAATTATTTTAAAAATACTACACTATGATCTCTATAAGAAAATTTGCCGTAAATATTAAAAAAGTAAAAGAGTTATGTGCAATTTCGTGAGTCTAATAAGTGTTGGTATAATTTATTCATATTTTTTTAAGTAGACTATTAAACATTAATTAAAATATATAAAATAAAAAACATATTATAATGAGTGTCATAAAAAAAATTATGCTTCTCTTTTAACTCGTCGAAACGTGAAAAAATTAAAAACTTATTTAATAAAAAACACATTAAATTCTGTTTAAGACCCATGACAAGTCACTGACATATTGATATCTCCCACCAATTTATCTGGTAACCCGTGCAGGTAATCAATGCGAGCAATATTGGTCATTACTTAAGTTATTTTTATTTATAGAAATATTAATTTAATATTCTAATCCTTAATCCGTGATCCGTGATGTGAAATAAGACGTGCGAAGGTGATGTATGGGTTGTGACATCTGCTGTTTTCCACAGTTATGAATGGTTGTTTGGGAGAAAGGCCTACATACGATTTATTTATTTATTATATTTATAATGATATTAAATAAAATTTTCATAACTAGCTGGTGTATAAATGAATTGGTGTGAAGTTATTATAGTTTAATCAAAGTCTTGAATTTTAGCATTAGTATAGTATGCATTGCAAATAAAGTCGAGTTAAAATAATAAGGGAACCATGTGTAAAGAGAAGACTAAAGATGCAAATAATGAATGTTATCTTATGTTAGTTGCGAAGAATAAAGAATGTGAACGTACCCTGGATTTTCCACGGAACATTTGGTTCATTAATTAATGGAAAATGGTGTATAAATAGTTGCATTTGTTCCATGTGTTGTTGAGAAGACTGAGAAGGGTGCGTGGTGAGTGAAAATAATGTATTCAGGGGTGAAAGGGTTGTTTAACAGGAGCCAAAAGGTGAAGGGAAGAGTGGTGTTGATGCGTAAGAATGTGCTTGACATAAACAGCATAACGAGTGTGAAAGGGGTTATTGGCACTGGCATCAACCTCCTTGGTTCAGCTGTAGATGGTCTCACTTCCTTCCTTGGTCGATCTGTCTCTCTCCAGTTGATTAGTTCTACCAAGCCTGATGGTTAGTTACTCCCATTCTTCACCAAGGTCAAAAGATTACAATTTTAGTGTATATGATGAGTTATGATTATTTATTATCAGAGTGAAAACGTTTCTTCAAGCTTATTTTTACTTTTTACAATTAAAATCAATAGTATTTTAATGTTATTAGTGCGAGAAAAAAATATAAACAAATCTTTTTTTTTCATTTAACTGCTAACAACACTCAATAAATGGGTTTGATCCGGTTACATAAATACTCATAGCTATGAGTACCCAAATTACATTCTGCACACACATAAATATTAATCTAGATACATCTTTTTTTTTTTATATATTTTTTTTATCATAGATAATATATATTTTTTAAAATAAAGATATAAACATAAGTACTTTATTTTATTTCATACTCCACTCATTATCAGGTTTGACTAGGCTGACAAATCAGCCCACAACGACTAAATGGGCCTAAATAAAAAATAAAGTAAAAATATGTATATTTCTTATCAACAGTCCAAATGAAAAGATCTATGATTTACGTTATCCGACAAATACAAGAGGAATGTTCATTTCCAGAATTAATGTATCACCTCCAAAAGTAAACTGTGTTAGAATGAAGAATGAAAGGACTATTTATTATTGTTTAAAATTATTTTGATTATTTTGAAAATTATTAAATATTTTTAAATTACTAAAATATTGTCTCGACCTTATCCTGATCTTAATTAATTACTTTCTTCCGAGTAATATTGTCTCAACTAAAATTTCATTACCTACAATTAAAAGGAGAATAATAAACAATGTTAAGAACTAATTTACATTAAAACTATATATTTTTATAAAACCAAAAAAAAGGATTTGATATAATTTTGAATTGTTTTTGTAGCAAATGGAAATGGGATAATTGGAAAGAAGACCTATTTGGAAGGTATTATTAGCTCTATACCAACTTTGGGAGCTGGCCAATCTGCATTCAATATTCATTTTGAATGGGATGGTGAGATGGGAATTCCTGGAGCTTTTATAATCAAAAATTACATGCAAGTTGAGTTCTTCCTCGTCAGTTTGACTCTTGAAGACATTCCTAATCAAGGAACCATGCACTTTGTTTGCAACTCATGGGTTTACAATTCTAAAGTTTACGAAAATGATCGAATTTTCTTTGCCAGCCAGGTAAAAATTGTTTAACTATATATATCCATATGTTATAAAATGAAACATAATCTTTTTTCACATGTTATAAAAACAATTCAACGTGTTTAATCTGTTGCACCGCTTAACATAGTTAAAAAATAGTACTACCAAGCGCATTGAATCGTGGATCAGCTAGTGTGGGATTGTTCCAACTTAACTAATGTTGAGTCTTGCATGTTAAATAATAGTGTTAGTGTTGTTGGTTTTGCTAGATTAATTCTTGATTTGATAATGAACGTTACATAAATATTTTGCAGACATATGTGCCAAGTGAAACACCAGGTCCACTAGTGACATACAGAGAAGCAGAATTGAAGGCTCTGAGAGGAAATGGATCTGGGAAGCGCAAGGAATGGGACAGAGTTTATGATTATGATGTTTACAATGATTTGGGCAATCCTGATAGCGGTGAAAACTTAGCTCGTCCAGTTCTTGGAGGATCTGTCACTTATCCTTACCCTCGCCGGGGAAGAACTGGTAGAAAACCAACAAAGAAAGGTTACACTTCTGTTTCTTAAACATCACTCAAATTTGTTTCAAATTCTTTTAGAGTTTAATTGCTATGCACAACTTGTTCGTAATTTATCATAAAAGTCAATACAGTTACTTTACATGATGATTTGTAACTGAATGACAATGTTGGTGTATAGATATTTTCTCATTCTTTTGTTAATAATATCTACTTTAATTTTCGTGTACACCGTTTGTGTAAAGAATTTTATAATATTAACAATTCAGAAATCATCTCAAGTATGATGATATGAGCATTAAAGTAATTATTATAAAAATTACTGAACTTATGTTATATGACAATTTATGATTAGATTATGGTGTAAAAATCTTACAATGTCAATGAGGATACTTTTATCTATGTGGCTATGTGCAAATCATAAGAATTTTTGCCTATTGTAGTTCTTGTTGATATAATTTATATTCGATCCTTGACAGATTTGAAAAGTGAGAAACCGGGCGAAGTTTATGTTCCAAGAGATGAAAATTTTGGTCACTTGAAGTCATCTGATTTCCTTAGTTACGGGATAAAATCTCTGTCAAGAAACTTCTTGCCTGCACTCAAATCAGTATTTGATTTAAATTTCACACCAAATGAGTTTGATAGCTTCGAAGAAGTACGTTCACTCTGTGAAGGTGGAATTAAACTGCCTACAGATATTCTCTGCAAAATTAGCCCCTTACCTGTTCTCAAGGAAATATTCCGCACTGATGGTGAAAGTGTCCTCAAGTTTTCAGTACCTGATTTAATTAAAGGTAAAGATATGTATATATTACACGCATATGCTACATATAACGTGAAACTTAAATAACTTAACACATTTAGCAGTGCCAGAAAACTTGTGCATTTGTTAGTATTCTAATTTGACAATTATTTTCTTTGTTGTTTGGAGTAGTTAGTAAGTCAGCATGGATGACTGATGAAGAATTTGCAAGAGAGATGATTGCTGGTGTAAACCCTTGCGTGATTCGCCGTCTACAAGTAAGTCCAAATGTTATATTCTTCGGTTTCCATGTTTAAGATGCATGACATTAATGTTATAGTGAAGGAAAAACCATTACCTTCAATGTCATCTTTCCTCATAATCTTCTTTACTGCATGACAGGAGTTCCCACCACTAAGTAAGCTGGATCCCTCAGTCTATGGTGATCAAACAAGTAAAATGACTAAAGAACACTTGGAGATTAACCTTGAAGGGCTCACAGTAGATAAGGCAATGATAGATACGTTTCATTTCAATAAAACACCGTATTAGAATTTTTTCTATGGCAATGCTAGCAATACATTTTCTGATAATATACTTATTATTATTAGTTGAAGTTTATTAGGACTCATAATTATGTGAGAGATTTGTTTCACAAGGAGTGCGTTACACGATTTTGTTAGTCCTAATAGTAAGAGAATGATTGTTAGCATTTTTCTTTTTGCTGCAGTATTGTAATAAGCCATGTTACCTGTTACTGTTATTTAAATGAATTAATGAAGCTAGAAGTGTTAACATTGTATTTGTGGAACAGGCAATTGAGGATAAGAGATTGTTCATATTAGATCACCATGATGTATTCTTGCCATTTTTGAGAAGGATAAACGAATCAAAATTGGCGAAGTCTTATGCCACGAGGACGATCCTTTTGTTGAAAGATGATGGAACTTTAAAGCCATTGGCCATTGAATTAAGTTTGCCACATCCAGGCCAACAAAATCTTGGTTTCTATAGCAAAGTCATCTTACCAGCAAATGAAGGTGTTGAAAGTACAATTTGGCTATTGGCCAAGGCTCATGTTATTGTGAATGATTCATGCTATCATCAGCTCATAAGCCATTGGTATGAACTCTAGTCATTACAAACAATTTTAATATATTTATATGAAGTGATTCTCAATCTTTTTATTTATTTATTTTTTATTTTTTTATATGGGGTAACAGGTTGAATACTCATGCTGTGATTGAGCCGTTTGTCATAGCAACAAACAGGAATTTGAGTGTTCTTCACCCTGTTTATAAACTTCTGTTTCCTCACTATCGTGACACGATGAACATCAATGCACTTGCTCGACAATCACTAATTAATGCTGATGGCTTTATAGAACAAACATTTTTGGGGGGAAAGTATGCTGTGGAGATCTCTTCTGCATTTTACAAGAATTGGGTGTTCACTGACCAAGCATTACCTGCTGATCTTATCAAGAGGTGATCTATATCAACATGAACTGCATAACTGGTTTTATACGTGACACATCTCTAGTTCATGCAAGAGTTTTATGAACTTCAAGCATGCGAAATTCATGGGCTTGGTTTTTCAAAATTCAATTTTTATAAAAAGAGACAACTTTCACTTTAGGAGTTAGTTTTGTTGGATTGAATTAAGCACAAATTCATATTCTAAGATAGTATTAGACTTATCTTAACAATTGTTATTGGGTCTAAGTCATTACCAAACTACTTATTTGAGTTAGTAATTGTTGTTGGGCTTGCATAAAAAAAATGTATTGAAGATCCCAATATATAGACAAGAGACAACTCTCACCTTACAAGTTAACTTTATAGGATTAAATTAGGTGTATTCTCTCCTTCTAAGATTAATTGTAAGAACAAGTATAATTTTTCTTTGATGACAGCTAAAGCTATAAGACACTTTTGATGTTAATAGCATTTTTTTTTGCATGATTCAGAGGAATGGCTATTGAGGACTCATCTTGTCCCTATGGCCTCCGTCTTGTGGTAGAGGACTACCCTTATGCTGTGGATGGACTAGAGATATGGAACGCTATCAAGATATGGGTCCAAGATTATGTCTCCTTGTACTATGCCACAGATGATGCAGTTAAGAAAGACCATGAACTCCAAGCTTGGTGGAAAGAAGTTGTTGAGAAGGGTCACGGTGACTTAAAGGACAAGGCGTGGTGGCCTAAAGCACACACTCGTGAAGAGTTGATCCAATCCTGTAGTACCATTATATGGACTGCTTCAGCTCTTCATGCAGCAGTTAATTTTGGACAATACCCTTATGGTGGTTTTATCCTGAACCGTCCAACTCTTAGCAGAAGATTGATCCCAGAAAAAGGAACTCCAGAATATGATGAGATGGTCAAGAATCCTCAAAAGGCTTATTTGAGAACCATTACTCCAAAGTATCAGGCTCTTGTGGACCTTTCAGTGATAGAAATATTGTCAAGGCATGCTTCTGATGAGGTGTACCTTGGACAGAGGGACAATCCAAATTGGACCTCTGATCCAAGGGCAATAGAGGCCTTTAAAAAGTTTGGAAAAAGGCTAGAAGAGATTGAGACAAAAATCTCAGAAAGGAACCATGATCCAAAACTTAGAAACCGAACTGGGCCGGCTCAATTGCCCTACACTGTGCTTCTTCCCACCAGTGAAACAGGCTTGACTTTTAGAGGAATCCCTAATAGTATCTCTATCTAAACGTGCTAGTGTGTGGCTTCAATAACAGACGCAATGCTCAAGTTATGTGTCGTTGTGTTTGTATGGATGTATCATTGTGTGCGCTTATTTAAGTAATATTGTGTTTAGATGATCCATGGGTTTGGATGTTAGTAATTAGGGTGGCGTTTGTAACGCTAATAAATATGTTCACTAGCAAATTACTTGTTATAGCATATAATTGTTAGACTTTTTTACTTAGTTGGGGTATATGAAAACCAAAATTGTATTATTATTATTATTATTAGTTTTTACTTGTTGAAGATAAGTTGAAAATAATATATATATATATATATATATATATATGAGGAGGGATCCGTTTATTCTAAGAGTAAATTTACGTTAACAATTACTCATGTTCTACATTAAATTTCAACGATTCAATTGTTTAATTTAAGATTCGTAATGCATAAATCAAATTTACAAATTTTTAAAAGTTTTGAAAATCATTTGATAATTCGTTTCATTATTTCAAATCAATGTATAAAATAATTTTATGATTATCTATCGATTTGAATTAATGAAATGAAATATCAAATGATTTTTAAATTTTTTAAAAATTTGCAGACTTGATTTATGCATTAAGAACTTTAAATTCAACATTTGGATCGTTGAAATTTGATGTAGACACGAGTTATTGAACGGAGTAAATCTAGGTAGACTTACTCCTGGATTAAATAGATCCTTCCTCTCTCTCTCTCTCTATATATATATATATATATATATATAATTTTGAAAGTTGAAATAAATTAAAGACTTAAATATATTGTTACTCTTCAAATGTAAAATTGATCTTTTTGTAACACTCTAAGTTGTGACACTATTATAATTATTCCTAGTTGTTTTATGTTGTTAAGTTGGATTGTTGTTTAGTATTGAGAGATTCTAGAGTTTGAGGATCCTTTAAGAGTTTCAGTGATGTTAGAGGTTTCTCAAGACAAAGGGTCAATTTGACTTTAGAGAGAAGAGTATATAAGGTTTTTATTGAGTGGCTCCTAGTGTTTCCATGCCAGAGCTTTGTTTGGATGACACTAGACACCAGTTTGGCAATACTGGACGTAAGTCAGATAGAGACTCTTTACCTAAGATGGGGTCGAACATGATACATTACCATGCCAGGCACGAGGTCTTAGGGGTCTTTGCCTTAGCCACGTCGACCACATGTTGTGTAGTATTAGACATGGACGAGACAGAGAGCTCTTTTCCTAGATGGTGTTAGGCACTGGGTTTTTATTTTGTGATTTGTATTAGTGGTTTTAGTTAGTGATGAATGTAAATTCTTATTAACTTTCACAATTTGACTTACTTTTATACTCTATTTTTGTGCAGATCATATTTTGAGTTCGTGATATTAAATTTGAACATTCTTGATGTCCTTAGAAAGATAAAAGAGAATTCTACAAGTTTTTTGTTAGGAGCAAAGGTCAATTAGAATGTTAAGTGGTCCAAAAATACATTGTAAAGTTGTGGTCCTATATATA